CAGCCAGCGGCAGCAGAGCTTCACATGGCACCTGGGGGTTCTGTCAGGGGCGTCTGTCGAAGCACGTTTCGCGCCGTTTTAGCTGGTTTTGAACACGCAGCTTCTGCAGCGGCGCGTGAAACCAGAGCGTGTTTCCCGTCGGGAGGGCGGGCAGGTGGGGTGGTGGGGTACCACCTGCGGTTCAGAACGTGCTTGTTTTCGGGGAAAGCTTCGGCTATCGAGTGCTACGCTACCGAACCCTACCGTGCCAGCACCACGGATGACGTTGTGTGTTGATAGGAAAAGCAGTGACGATCCTTGCACGGCTGGAATAGGTTATTGCAGCTTGCCACAGAAAGCAAGCGGCAGAAAGTTGACGCTGTGCTGGGTGTCAGCATCAGCAATATTTTCTATCACTGATTTAAAATGCAGAACAACTGTTCCGTAGGCAAAGTGACATAAAAGCAGAAGTTAAGCAATACTGACTGAGGGAGGGTCTCATACCAAACTGGGTGTGTGTGCCGCACCATGAATTTTTAAATCACAGCATCTTTTCAGGTCTCCGTACAACTTAATCACAAGCCTTCATTCTAAACTTAGTTTAACTTAACTGATTCATTTGAAGGCATCCTTTCAAATTTATTCTTTGCTCGTATTTGTGAGCTGAGATCAAAAATCCTTCTCTTGCTGTTCTAGCACAGACTTCTGTGTATAGAGCATGTACTGGCTTCTCCCTCCACCCCCTAAAGATATGAGCCACTTGCTATGACTTAGCTCTCTAATTTTAGAAAAACCATTTTAGCAGAAGGTGTTTCAGAGAAGATGAGGCCTTTGGCTCCATTGGAAGTTTACACGATGCACAGCATGGCAAACAAGGATTCTTATTAATAATTTCAGAAGTTATAAAAATGCCAAAGGGAAAGTTTAACGCTATGGCTCTAGGAGCTCTGTTTCTCCACCTCCACCCTTAAGGTTTTGCTTTTATCTCCTTTGATATTTTCTCGTACTGAAAGTATTAAGCATCAGGGGACTGCCTGTTTCTGCTGAGTGTTTAAAGACCATATGTGAGCGTGTTGCTTAACCAAATGTTTTCTCTCACTTCTCTTCCCAGCTTACCAGAGAAGATCAAGATGAGTCTACGGAAACAAACCCCTAGTGACTTTCTTAAACAAATCATTGGAAGGCCAGTTGTCGTGAAATTAAATTCTGGAGTTGATTATCGAGGTAGGTTCTCCATCTGTCTCTTACACTGAGTAAAGTCATTGTCTGGGGAGGCTGGAACAAATGCATTGCTTTTGAAAAGCAAAACAGCGCGATCCAGAGTCTTGGAGTATGTGAATATAGATCTTAGAATGGTGACATTAAAAATAGAAAATCAACTCTGGAGAAACTGATGAAAAGGAGGTTAACGGTGGATTTAGACACTAAAATTACTTATCTAAATCATTAGTGTCCTTAGTCACAGATGGTTAGACTAGAGTCTCGGGATAATTCTGAGTTTCTAAACTGGTATTTGTAAAGATTGGCTGGAATTACAATTGCTGAAAAGGCCAGGCAGTCCCCTTTTCAGTGCTCTGATAGCAACCCTTGTTGGAGCTACCCTTTTCTTCACCTTCCTGTTCTCCAATTCCTCTTATAGACCTTGGGCCACAGAAGCTTCAGCCAGTAAACTGTGCCATCAGTCAGAAGCCTACTTTTACACAAGGGATGAAAGTTGTTTACATTCTTGCTTAAACAACTGTCTAGACACGTGTTGGATCAAGACTCACATACATTCTTGCTTAAACAACTGTCTAGACAAGTGTTGGATCAAGACTCACGAGATACAGTAGAAAGCTTAGTGTGCCTTTTGCTGTTATATGCCCAGTTCATTTTAACACAGTCCAGCAGTTTTATTCCAGAACTCTTCAGCCTATCTGTATACCTTCTTGCACCGAATGTAGGATTACAGGGTTTTTTAACCAGTAAATTAAACTTCTATGTTCAGTGAAATGTCCTGGTCCTACTCCCATTAGGATAAGACTATTGGCCTGTCCAATTTTTTTAGTAGTATCCAAACTTAATTAAAACTGTCATGTATCTCCTATTGTGCACAATTTAGACATTTTATTCTGGAATGATTTAAACATTATGGTCCTGCTACAGATCACTGCTTCAGATAGGTTTAATTCAATTGGCTCAGCTTGGCGCTTGTGAGAGGAGACTTGTTAGTGCTGTGACAAGGAATCTTTGTATTATGACAGTTTTAAATTGTTATTGTTCACTGACAGAGCAAGCAGTGCCTTCTTATCCCTTCCTGTTCCTCTTTAGTGTCTCTCAGCTGACAAAGTTTGCAATCTGTCATTTCTTTGAAAACTACATTGTCTGAGCACTTCAGGTGGGGTTGGTGGCTTAAAAACTTCACTGCTTCTCAGCGGTCTTTGGCCTCTGTAAATTCTTTCCTGCAGGAGAATGTAGCGACAGCTCATTAAAGTCAATTAAAGCAAGTCATCATTTACTTAAAGGTATACACAAGGTAGGGCCAAACCAGATTTGGTTTTTTGGATGCACTTTCTGGTTTCTTTGAGAACATTGGTGCTTTCTGCTCAGTAAGATCCATTTGTAACTGATGCAGATAAATTACTCAACTGTCCCCTCAACAAGGCTAGTTCAACGTGCCTGCAATCAGACCTACCAGGAATTGAACCATAGTTCCTTTGAACATCCTTATTTGTTACTAGATTTTTTTCCCCTCCCTTCCTTACTTCTCTCTGCTCTCCTTCCTTCCCGCTTGATGTGATGCTGCAGTTAAAAACCTGTCTACTGTTCTCATTTGAAAAATATGCGCTCAGTTTGTTTTCTGCAGAAATTTGACCAACACTTGTAAAAGCCAAACTTTAAAAAAGCCGGCATCTCAGGCTTTTGTTGCAGATCTGATAAATTAATCGGTGTGATTTCTATGTGTAGAGATGGATATGTACATTAAAACATCTCTACATATAGATAAAACAGATAAAATACTAGCCAGGATGGGCAGTGACAATATTTAATGCCATTAGTGGCCTGAGAGTAAACACAAAGAAAAGGAGGAAGAGAATGAAACAACCATGAATGCACTCTAGGAACAAAAAGAGTTTGAAAATACTGTATTTATGGCCTACTGAGTGGTACCTTAAGAAAATCCACGCAGTCCAATTTTCATTTTGGACAAACACTTTTTTGTTTTCTATTGTTACGTGGAGCACTTGGAATTACTGGGGTGAAAAAGAGTTCTGACTTTTGTTTGGTTTGGGTTTTTTGGTGTATTTAGTAACACTTTGTGAGCAGTCAGTTTTTCCTATTTGTGTGGAAACAGAGGAAAGAAAAACATAGAGGAAAATAATTACAAGTTGGCAGGAGAACTTGAATTCCTAATTATTTAATGGAAGATATTACCGTAACACTTCTGAAAAATGAGAATCCTCCTCTAGGACACATTCTTAGACTGGAGTTTTCTCCCCTTCCCCAAGTACAGCCAAAACACTGTATTTTGAGTTTTAATGCCAGGTAAATAAATTAGGTGTTTTTCAAACAGGAAAAAATTATTTTAGTACTATTGTCTGTGTGTGCAAGGATGAAGTCAGGAAAACACACATGCAAGATGGAGATAATTAATACAGCTTTTTACAAGTTGTTTTATGTGCACGATTAACAAATCAGATTGCATTCTCTGAGCAATTCTTTACATCTGTTAATCCCCACATTCAGTTCCTTACATGAATAGTCTGTTGATCAGGCGAGTTAAATTTGTAGACGGCCATGGTTCTGATCTGAAGGGTGGGTGTAGGCGCCGAGGAGTGATTTTTGAATGAAAAAATGCCATCATACTGCCAGCACATAGGAAGTACTGTGTGAACAGGGTCCAGCCTTCAACGGGGGCTCAGAGAAGTGAGAACATAAATACTTGTCTAAAATCTGTGCTACTCAAATGCATATTTTCCTGATCAAAAGAACATCTAATATTACAAATGATAGAGATTTTTTCTTGAGTTGCGTTAATTAAACAGCGTAATTTTATTTTTGTGGGAAGATTTCAGTGTCATTTGAAAACCCTTTGCCTGTTGAAAATGATGTAGAATTTTGTTTACATCAAAACAGAGACTTGCAGCCAATGTTCTTCTAGATCTGTAAGCATGAAGATAAATAATGAAAAAGTGCGTATGGTGTCCTGTATTAAAAGGGTTGTTTTTCAGCTATATCCTTCACAAGTTTTGATGAAAACTCAATTTACATAGCCTTGTCCTTAGGTTATCCAGTTACACTTAATGTCACAGGTTCTTTTCAGGTGTGTGGCTTAAAACACAAGTGAGAAGGGACAACTTAAACTTTCAAAGTGGAAATTGTCAATCTTTGGAAAGTCATGCCTTAATGACTTCTTCCCCCTCACCCCGCCTTTATATCAACTGATAAAGTTGCTACTAGAGTGCCTGGGGTTCCTCACTCCCAGCTTAATTCTTCGAAGAATACTCTGATCTGCTGACTCATCTGGCCAAGCTTGGGCTTTTAGTTTGTTAATTTTTTCAGTACTATTCAAACACAATGCATTTTTGTTTATTTTAAAATAAGTTTAAGCTGATTCACTTTTAAACTGTCACTGTCTTCAGGTGTCCTGGCTTGCCTGGATGGGTATATGAATATAGCTCTGGAACAGACCGAAGAATATGTAAATGGACAATTAAAGAACAAGTACGGGGATGCCTTTATCCGAGGAAATAATGGTAACTCCTCCTCGTTATGTTATTGCTTATTAGAAGATTGTGTTTTGATATTTACTTCTGAATTTGAGAGGAGTGGCTGAGGTGTAAGCAAGCTGCCTGTAAGAATATTAGTTTTAGGCTTTCTCGGAAACCTTAACGTATTACTTTTTACAGTTTCACTTTTTTCAGTGTCCGTGCTTTTCTGCATTACTGTGGCCCTTTTTGCCTCTGAACTTGAAGTTCATTTAGAGAAGCATGCTTTTTTCTAGCCTTCCTTAGTGCTTATTTCCTGTCGTTTGACAGGTTTACTCTTTTGCACTTACTGCCTGCTTAGGTGGCCTCTGCTCCATAGAAGTTTCTGTGTTTTGCTAGGCAAACTACTGCGTAAATTTATGATACAGTACAGATGTTGATGACACTGTAATGTTTTCTTGTGATGCAGTTGTCCAGACCTGAATGATTGCTGTTCATTAGTACTGGAGGCTATTTTCATCTTTATGAGTAAAGATTTTACCACCAGTCAAGAAAATCACTTGTACTTTACTATTGAGCCTTTGAATATCCCAGTGCAGTAGGTGGGTTTTAGTGCACTTCAAGGACAATCCCAGGCTCCTGAAATGACTCTGTGGTATCCGTTAGGCTGTAATAGCAGGACATGCCAGGGAGAAGAATATCTAAAAATAGAAAAGGTTCACAAGTCAGATGTGAAGAGACTTGTAGAGAAGGTAAATGAAGCAGAGTTTGACCAAGTTACTTGAGAAGAAAATGGAGGACAGGAAGGAGGGAGGGAATAAAAAGAAACAAGAACTGAATCCCATGTTACCAAAAGAGTCAAAGAAAATGTGGCACCGTTATGAAAGAGTGTTTTGGGAGGAGAAATAATCCTCGAATGAGGCCAAATGCTTTTTGCAAGGAATTTGGATTGTTATGCTAAGGAGTGCAGTGACATTGCAGTGGGAGAATCAGCTATGGAAATAAGAATCTATTATAAAAGTTAAAACAAATGGATGAGAGGCAGGAGGATGAAGAACAGGCTGAGCAGAGAACTTAAGACATCCCAGGTTTAGGAGCACAATGCAATTTCATGTTGTGCACGTCTGTTCTGGGGATATCGCCAACCAAGCAGGTGGAAGATGCCTGCTGCTTCATAGGTAATTGTTAGCTTTGCCTTAAGTGCTTGTGATTTCCAGCTTTTGTTGAAAGATCACAGCATTAGTGTCCGACACCCATAATTCTGCTGGTTCGAAAACTCTCTCATGCTCCCCTCAGGAATGCTGCAGGGTAGCTGGCTTTATTCTCCCTCTGTTCAGCCTGCATCTGCTGGAGTGTAGTTTGGCTATGAATATAATAAATACTGAAGCAAAGTAACACATAATGTGTGAATTTGATAGCATTTCTTGAAACCTGGACTTAAAAGTTTCCTGACTTTGTTCATGCTGAATGGGATTCATTACACTGTTGTTTTACAAGCCATGGAAGTAAGATGTTTTAAATAAAGAGGCTTCTGTACGTTATTTACCAGGGCCCTCTTGTGTGCCGCTTTCTCCTTTTCACAGTATTGTACATAAGCACACAGAAGAGGAGGATGTGAAGATGCCAGAAGGAGGCTGTTTTGTACTTGTGAACCTCTTCGAAGTGATGAGCCCTATTTGATTTGTAGTTAATAATCCACAGGTGAAATACACAAGTGTTTAAATATTTTTTAAATAAATGTAAACCAGTGTAAACTTCCTGAATGTTTTTGTTTCAAAGCATTGCTGTACAGAAAAAAAATAAAAGAGAAGCATATAATAGTGCCGCAAGATTAATTCAAAGCAACAGCTCGTTTAATTATGCTAATAGTTACAGAAATACTGTTTGGAAGGTAAGCAGGCATGGAGTAATTGCAAATCACAGCCTTCTATTGATGGCAAAACAATAGTTTAACTGATGTTGGGAAGGGAAATGCTAATGTTTTGGTGACAATGACCTGTCCCTTTTGGAAAACACAGGGTCAGCTTTAAATGCCAATCTAGTAAGAGTCATCGAGTAAAAAGTTCAGCTGTCCAAAAAATCTTGACTTGTGGATTGAATCAAGGGATGTAACAGTGACACTTCAGCAGTTAGGGGTGGGGAAAGGATTGAAGCAAATGGAAGAAAAGCCCTAAGGGTGAAAAGAAAGCTCGGTGCCAGCTGAGGAAGTCAGTCACAGGTGAAAAGCTCTCAGTTGGTATGCCAACACAGCTAGTAGCTGCTTCACCTCCTGCCTCTCTACCCCCCACCCTACCTCAGCTTGCAGTTAACCTTTTTTCCTGCATCTCTACCAAACACAGTGGACTTCTTCAATAAAAAGCAATTTTAACTAATATCTAAAGCTACTCCTGAAAACAAACTAGGAATCTAAAAGCTTTTGTAAACATGCCACAGGTATCCTCTTCAGACAGTTCATTCTTCTCCCATCCACTTCTTCCCCCAACCTAGTACCATCTATATATTCTCTTTCTTTATGTGCTAGCCAGAAATGAGAACAAATACATTAAGCTTATAGTATGGGGTATGCATTAGGGAGGGGGAACCTCTGTGCAGGCAATGGAGTCAGAACTTGTTTGTTTATATTTTGCGACTGCTTCCAGATAATCAAAGCCCAGTGAGTAAATCCAGCTCAGTTTTACATGGATACTTACACCAATTTATAAAATATCTTTTCTCCTTTTACATGCAGTCAGCCAAGAAAAAAACCCTGAACTTTCAAATATTTCTTAGTCTAAGTGTTACTGCACTTAACATCCAGATAGTCAGAGTATTTTCTTGTTCCTCGGGACAAAGTTGTAAGTTAGGGTGATGTACCTCACGGTGAGGTTATTTAGCCAATTTTTAAAAATGAGTTTTCTGAAGCCCTGCTTTATTCTTTGGACAGTTTATAGTGCCTCCAGGAACAAAAATACTTGTAGTTGTGGATGGATGAACACAAGACAATTGTGTGAATGTAACATTGGCCCGTTTTTTCCAAGTACCAGTAACTCTAATGCAAGCAGGGAATAGTAGCATTTCAGTTATCCAAGGGAGAGAATGTGGGTTGCAAATTTTTAGGTTGTTTTTTTTTTTTAAGATCAAGGACTAATTCTAAATTATTTTGCAATCAGTAGTTAACCTTTCCACATTAAACACTTCAGAAGTCGCTACAGAACACAGAAATAGAGATGCTACTTTATAACATGCTTCAAAATTTACCATTTTCTGACAAGGGTTGAAAAGGGTCCAGGATGTAAGTACAAATCACCAACTTGCTCTTCTGTAAGTGACTTCTTTTAAAAAAAGGAAGATGTACCTCCAAGTGGAGCATGCCGTTTCTCATTTGTTTTGTCATCTGCATGCAGCTGGCAGGTTACTGTGCGCTTTCATTCCTGGAGACTGTCTGGGTTTTGGTTTTTTTTTATTTTAATTTGGGGCTAGGTTTTTTTTCCCTCTTTCTTCTCCACCTTTCTCCCCGCCTCCACCTGCCCACCTATAGCAACACATTTTGCACAGACTTTGATTTACTCTCAGTTTGCATCGCTAGCTTTTTAACTGCAGTTCTGTTTCTACAAGTCTAGTTATAGAACATTTTTCAGTTGTGATCTGCAACTTCAGATGGTCTAATCACATACTAAACTCTGAACTTAGAAAATACTATGTAGTTTACATGCTGAGGGTTTTTTTTAACGTATTCTAGATCATGAAGTCACTATTTACTATGTGAGGTAGATAGGAAAATTTGCATTAAAGATGAGCTGTTGTAATTCATATTCAAATTTCAGAAGTAGCTAAAGAAATTAAACATGTAATTCCCACAATCACTGACCTTTATGTACATTTTCACAAGATTTCTTGCCCTTAATTCAATTTTCAGCCCCTATGTTTAAATCAAGCGAACATTTAAGTTTGACTTCAATTAGGCAGTCCAATGTTTGGATGTAGTCTGTTCTGAGTCAGATAAAACATTAATCTTGGATTTATTTTACTTATCTTTTAGATTTTGCTTTGACTTACTATATTCTGTAGGACAACATACCAGTTGCAAGTAAATCAGACACTGGCCGGACAGCTTTCAGAATAGCACATGGAACATTATCCAAAGTTTAAGTTTTAAGGTGAGGCATCCCATTATATATGTATGTAAACGTCAAAGTAGAATGGTGTATTTCACAAACTCCTGATGCTTAAAAATGACTCAACCTGATTTATAAGATCTTTATCCCGTTGGGAGATACAAATACACTCTTACAAACGCAATATATCTTCACACACAAAAGACTATTAGATACTAATGCTCATGTCCTTCATGTTACCTCATTTACCATATCCTAATGCTCTTGCCCCAGTACCTGTGTATAAAACGGTTTCACTTGTGGATCAAGCTCATCTAGATCAGGACTGACAATGAAACATTCCTTGAGCAACTTACAAGTGCTTGTCCATCATTTGTCTTAGAAGAGTGCACCCAAAATTAAGTAATCCAAAACTAACAAACAAAAATTAATTGGATTTCAAAGACTAAAGCTGCATTCATGTACACAGTTAGTACTTTTATGCAATGAGATCGCTTCATGAAACCGAAGCCATTCAACCACTACTCCACCCCCACCCTCTTCCCTGCATTGAGTTCACAGACAGACTCCAGGAAGAGCAGTAACTCTGAATTTGCTACATCCCCACATCCAGTGTAAGTTTCTTGCACTTGAAAAACGAAACTAAGCCACAGCTCCTTAAACAAAAGCCTGGCTGGGAGCAGCAGCGCAGCGTATCCTGTGGAAACTAGAGAAAGCAAGTCTGGAAGAAGGAGGTAAGCACTCACTGCGTGGTGGGGCAGCCAGAAGCCAGGTTACTCCTAAAGCCTGCAGTGCCCTGAAGTGCCCCTGTATAAAGGGAGCAGAGCATGCTAGGAAAGTTTTGCTTTAAAGGTATACACTGAGGACCACTCAGTTTTACAATTTGTTGCCACCTGGTTCCTAGTTCAAAGGGAATCTAATGCAAACTGCTCTGAACATTATTTATTTGAGTTCTTTCTATCTTTTTCACAATGTTACAATGACCAAACAGCTACCCAGAGCCCTTCTGGATATGACTTGCCCATTAAGTCCTAGGGCTCTTACCCAGCTCCGAAAACCAGCTGTGCCCCACAGCTGCAGGTTTCGGCTGTGTTGTTCACGGTAGTCAAGAAAGCGTGAAAGTGTTTGCAAAGTGATGGCCTTCGAACCTTTGACTGATGGTACCGAAGCAATGTCTGATCTTTAATACGTCAACCCATGCCTGTGGCCAGCTCCAGCCCCATGCCGGTTTTGAAAGCAGACAGACTGTGGAGCCAGCCGTTTCAAAGTCTCAGGCTCCTGTGCCAAACTGTTCTCCAAGGCTGAGAAATCGGACGGGAGGAGGCTTTTCCTGAGCTGCTGTATTGATCCTGACCGAGGGACCCTTGAAGGTTTAGGAGTCAGTGATCCACACAGCAGCTTCAGGCTAGGCTGGGCTGCATGCCCGGCGTGACTTTCAGGTCTCCGTTGGGCCGCACGGAAGCCTTGGCTTCAGGACACCTCTGCCAGCTCATCGTAACGGCAGAGCTCGTGGGCAGCTCCCACTGTGATTGCACCACCTGCCTGGCCTTGCCTCTGTCTAACAGCAGCGACAAGTTCTCACGAGAACATCCTTTAGAAAGAGGGTTCTTTTCTTGTAAGGAAATTACAAAATAGCTCAAATGATGAAAAGGGAGAGCTGCTCCCCACGGACGGGGTTGCATCTGCTCTGCGCAGCGCACCGTGGGAAAATCCATCTGGTCTCCATCCGATGCTACATGAATGTGGGGTGCCCAGCATCTGAAGGGATGTACAATTTATTTGCTGTCTGTATTCCTTGTCTTATTCTGTCTTATTAAAGCAGGCATTAAGCTATTTGTTGCTGGGCCTTTCTTATTGAGATCCAGGAAGAGCCCTGCACCATCTCTCTCTCTCCTCGACCCCCTCCTCTAGTGCAGAACAGCTGCCCAGGTTGCAGTAGTTATCAAATAAAATAAAGGGTTGTTTGGGGCTTTTTTTAGGCTGAATTTGTAAGGGCAGGGAGTTCACGTTATATGTTGCATGTGTGTATATGCATCAGTTCATTCCCAGCAGTAACATTTGACTCCACTGTCACACTTCAGTAAGTGTGATAGAGGAATAGCAGGAATAGTCAACTGGATAGAAATGGAAGGACCTGCCAGTACTTCTACAAACCTTCTGCCTAACTAGACGTCAGAGGAACATCCTCTTTTCCCTGGTCTCCCCAAACACAGAGCCACAGACATGCACAGGTCAAACCTGAGATGCCAGTTTGTAGGCATTGTTATCCATTCTCCCTGTGGGACTACCATGGGTTTTTACCACTCTCCTACTGTGGGTTTTTGACCGCTCTTCTCGCAGTTGGCCACTGCTCTTTGTTTTAAAGATGACCTGAAATTTTCTTAAATAAGATGGTGCTGCCAGCTTTGTTGGTTTAATGATCAGTTCCTTGTGATCTGGACTCAACTAACTGTGGCCACCTTCAAGCTCTCTACTTGATCAACCCACCCACTCTTGTCTAACTCCCCCCAAACTTTGTTCACAGGACTCAGGTGGCCGCCAGCTGACCAGGAGGGACTTCTAACTCGTTATAACCCTTATTATCTTGCAGTAGCAAAGCATTTATCAACCTGTCAATGAAGCAACCAGCTTGCTCTTGAGTGTCAGCTCTGGGTTGCTTACATCCATGCCTGTATTACATACTGATTTCCACTGCACCTGCTCCACATCTGCCGTCCCTGTTGTGCCCCGATGATGTGGAG